GCTTTTCTAGCATAACTTATCAAATATTGATCATACTTCTTAATCTAACAATCATATAATTGGAATGATTCTTAAACAAATAACCAAGAACAAATCTTCACATTTTCAATCACTGTAAATATACACAGATTACTTCTAGGCATGAATCAACATACTTTCTATTGTAAATTGCTCATTTCTACTCCAAAATCAATGAAGTCAAATTCTACTAGTGCGTCGTACGATCCCGAGTGTCCGAGCCTCAAGGGCCCACGAGTCCCGGTCCGAAATGACACGTAGCTGAGCCACAAGGGCCCGACCACTACACTACTATAGCCTAGCGAGGCTTACGGCAGGGCTTGAGGAGGCCCGCCGCTTAACTCCGCCAAGCAACGGCTCAGGGTCACAGTCCTCTCCTAGGGCCGTCTCTCCGTGGGGTTGGCCAACGGCTCCTACCTAGGGCCGTTGGCTAGTCCCGTGGACTTGTCTGGTACACACTGTCTGTGCACCAGATGAGTTATGAGTACTTTTTCACCTGTAAATGCAACTTCAAGCATTCAAACACTCCCAAAATCCTCAACAACATATCACAGATCAACAATAGATCATTTAATAGCTCAACCACAACAATAATCTAGCATTTCTAAGCATTTCAACCAACAAATAGACTTCACAGAGTCTGTAAAAGCTTAAGGGAGTCCATGGGGTTATACCTTAGTTTCTTCTTCTTCTTGTGTGGATCTCTTCTTCCTCTCTAATCAAATACTACCTCCTTTACCACCTAAACACCTCAAACCAACCATACAAACATCACTTGACGAAAGATTCTCAGAGATTGGAAGCAAAGATGGGAGATCAAGGAGTAAATGGAAATGGATGGATGAGAATGAAAGCTAGAAAACTTACTGCTTTGTTTCTTCTTTGTTTACAGAGAGCTCAGGGAGAGGAGATGCAAGGAAGAGATCAGGAAAACACAATACAATAGTGTTGAATATATAGGGTGCAAAACCCTAGGTAGGAAGCCAATGATTGGTCGAGGGCAAATGGGTAATTTGGCTTGTTTTGAAAGGATCAGACAAAGTTGTTTGGAGGTTCATGGTTCACCTTGTATCATGGACCAAGGTTTAGAATCATAGTTTAAAATAGTTTTAGGGTCAAAATGCATTTTTCTAAAAATACTTTCTAGACAACCACTTAGTTTAGGTTCCCCAGATTTCTCCCGGTTTCACTCAGATTGACTCTTGGATCAAAAACTTGGTACTCGATGTATCCAAAAATTTAGGATTTAGAAATAAAATAAGTCCCGGTGTTAAACTCATTTAAAATATTATTCAAAATAATTTATTCAAACACCGTTTTTATAGCAAAAATTTTGGTAGAATGAAAAACGGGTATTTTGGAATTTCTTAAAACCGAATTTAGAAAATTAACTTTTGGGTTATCACACCCCGCCAGGCCAAAAGTTTTACTGGCCGGGCCCTCTGTGGCTCAGCTATGTGTTGTTCGGACCGGGACTCGTGGGCCCTTGAGGCTCGGACACTCGGGCTCGTTATAATGCGCTAGTAGAAGTTAGTTTCGTTCTATTTGGAATTAGAAAGCATGAGTTACAAATAGAAATGTTGAAAGAAAGAATGCCCTGCATATTTGATTATCTGTGAACCTATATCAGTAAATGAGATTATAGCTTTTGAGTGTTGATATTTGATTGAGAAGCATGCATGCCTAAATACTTGTTAGAATTTATTGAGAAGATTTGTTAGGTTATTGAGAATTTGGCATGAACAGTGTATAATTCCCTTGTTTCACAGTGAATGAAATTGCTTGTATCTGAGTATGTTTTGAGTTGAGAAGCATGTTTAATACTTGATAGTATTTATTGAGAAGATTTGCTAAGTTGTTGAGAAGTTTGGCATAAAGCAGTGTATATTTTCATTTCACAGTAAAGAGCATGTTAGCACATTTCATTGAGCAAAGTGCATTATTGGCTCTAAGTAAAGCCTAAGATCTATTTCAAAAACCTATATCTATTTTGTAAAATTTCTATCTTTTTGCATTGAGAAGATTGCATGATATTTGATTTCCAATATGTGAGAAAGAGAAGTTGTTGAGATTTATGTTGTGCATAGCAAGACTTGCATAAATTAAAGTTTGTTGCATTAGAAGAGAAATTGCATGAGAAAGAAATTACTTGAGATATATCTATATGCTATCTATTGTGAGGAAAATAGTGTTTTGGAGGACCGTTAGGACTATGTCCTTTCGGGAGAAAAGAGAAAGAAAGAAGTTATGAGAAAGTTAAGAAACGGTCACAGAGGACCGACAGATATTTAGAAGTAACGAGGTCGATATTCCCGAGTAACTATGTTGGATACTATCCGCTGGGCTTGGAATCCATGTTAGGGGGTGTGTGCACTTAAAGTATGATACCTGATTCCACAAAGAAAGAAAGAAAGAAAGAAAGATTAAAGAACCACCAGTACCGGTTCTATGGGCGAGTTGAGTATTAAGCCGGCTAGATTGCCGATCCCGGATAGGTCCATTCACGATTCATGAAGTTCATACCTCCCCCACGAGTTAGAGGTTCCGTTGATACGAATGTGGCGGCTGCAAGAGTTTGCACCGTTCGCTAGGGCTTCGCTACGACGAAGTATCTGCCTCGCACAAAGAATAGCAAAGAGATTCATGAGAAAGTTTGAGAAAGAGGAAAGAAAGCAAGTAAGAAAAAAGAGAAAAGCGAGTCAAGTGGTTCAACAGAAAGTAAGAAAGAAAAACATAAAGAAGAGAAAAATGAGTCAAGTGACTCAACAGAAAGTAAGAAAGAAAGAAAGAAAGAAAGAAAGAAAGAAAGAAAGAAAGAAGAGAAGAGAAGAGAAAAGCGAGTCAAGTGACTTAACAGAAAATAAGAAAGAAAGAAGAGAAAAGCGAGTCAAGAGACTCAATAGAAACCTCCACACAGAAAAAGTATTTCTTTTTACATAAGAGCGAGAGTATATGTGTAACACCCCCGATTTTTACCACATTTTTAAAACTTAAATTCAAAGGAAAACATCTAATCATCAAGACATAAAGCAAGCGGAAGCTATATAAAATCGGTAAGTGTTATGCCACACCTATCTCAAACATAGGTGCACAGGCGGGAAAACTATCAAGTCAACAAAACATAAAGTATCTAGGCACACAGGCCGCTAAACTAGGCTCAAATGCCAACAAACGATAACGTCTAAACATGGTAGCTAATCTATCTAGCGATCCACATCTAGCGCTCTCAGCATCTACTCAAAACCTGTAGAATCAAGGGATAACACCCGGTCAGCGAATATTGCTGGTAACCCATCAATACGCGTTAAATAACGTATATACATATAATCAAAACCATTTGAAACAGGAATACAATATATATCATTTCAAAAACAAGGAAGGGAAATCAACTTCAAAGACTCAACAATCACTCACAAGAGAAACGAGGATCTTCATCCTCACAATAACAACAAGACCACAAACATGAGAAACACAACTGCAGATGCATTCTACTGATCACAAAGTAGAATACATCAAGACATGCTCATAAGCAAAGAAATCACAATCACACAGTGACAACTACATGTCACAAGTTTCATAGTTCCAACCTTATGGCTACCCCCCCCCCCCCCCGGCCTTATTTCAATTCCAACCATTACCTCCAAGTAACCCTGTACTTCTGAGTCCAACCTTATGCCTCCGGGGACCGTCGTCCCCCCACCTACAACCACCCACATTCCACCTACATCTCAGTATGCGAGGGTACCGTTAATTTCATTCACACAACCACCTACATGTGAGCCAAGCTCAAGTAACAACCACCCACATTCAATCATAGTCACACAAGGTCATCATCATTACCAAGAATACTAAGGCTCAACAATAGCCTCAATCAAGTATCAACAAAGGGTACAATGATTTGCATATGTTCACATCATAGGGATCAATCAAGAGATCACAATAAAGACATGAGACCATACTCAACAACAAAGGATTACAATCCAACACCAAATGATTGTCAACACAAGTTGCCAATCCCCATAAGAAGGAACAAACCACACAAACTAGCATCATCAAACTAGCATGCTTACAAACGGGTAAACCAAAAGTAGTTTCAAAGAACATTCAAGATTCATAATTAGCCCAACGAATCACAAGGTTGGACCCTTATCACGATTCAAGACACCAAATCCTACATGGATTCCTAACATACCGTTCTAGACATATGAAACATCAAGAAGACTCACAAATAGCCCAATAAAACAACATCGGGAGGTCAAAACATCAATACCGAGACAAAAGAATCACGGGGAACAAATCCCCGACATCAACCCACAACGTTCCCCGCGGGTGGGGCCATGGGTGGTGTGACACCCCAAAATCTAAATCCAATTAATGGGTTAATTGAGTAATTAATCCTATTTCAAATGGGGAATTAATTCCTAAAATCCTGAAATTCAATACTTGAGGACTAGTATTTGACTAGTCAATTCCAAAGTCAAAGTTGTACCTTGAGCTTTGAAGGGAGTTCCTTTGTTCCTTACATTTCCTAATGTTAGTAAGGGCATTCTTGACCTTTCACCTAGTGTTAGTATTGTAACCTAACCTAGTAGACATCTTCATTCTATCCCTTACACTTTCTAAAAATTAAGCTCTACCTTCTCTCTAAAAAGGTGAGTAGTTTTTCTTCCAAGCCAAGTTGAGACCTTGCCAAGACTTCAAGAGTTGCTTCCAAGATTCAACCTTTCTTATATTTGGGCATCTAGGAGGGTAAGATCTAAGTCCATCTTGTGTTTTTGGTTTCATCATAGGTGTCTTTTTTTAAAGGTAGGATCTTTATGATCTTTTAGTTTGTCTTGAAGTGGGTTTGGAAGGTGAGCCTTAAGAAGAGCTTGTTAAGGTGTAAAGTGAAGTCTTTTAGTCTACAAGAGGTAACCCATGCTCTACAAAATCTATTTTGCTTACCTATATGTGATTTCTTAGATTCTACATGTGTTTTGCTATGAAATGTGAGTGTTGATGCATGATCTTGTGAAAATGCATATCTAGAGCTTGTGTTTAGGGTTCTTTTGTGCCATTGCTTGGCATTTCCTATGATTCAAGTCATTTTGTTGTATTGGGTGAGATTTAACATGTTTTGGACTTGAATTTGTGTTTAGATATGAATTTCGCGAAGTGTGATGTTGTGGTACAGGTTGTACCCGCGGGCGGAACGGCGGGTAGGAGGCCCACCCGCGGGGTACACAAGGTGGGAGGCCTGTACCCGCGGGCGGAACCGCGGGTAGGGGCCTACCCGTGGGCCTACTCGCGGGTACGTGTTGTGGTGATGGCGGGGATTTGTTCCCCGTGATTCTTTTGACTCGGTATTTGGTCTTTGGACTTCTCGATGTTCTTTTGTGGAACTATTTGAGTGTCTTCTTGATGTTTCATATGTCTAGAACTATGTGGTAGGTCCATGTAGGACTTTGGTGTCTTGAATCGTGCTAAGTGTTCAACATTGTGTTTCGTTGAACCGTGATCTGTCTTGTGTGTTCCTCGGAACTACCTGTGGTTTATCCATTTGATAAGCATGCTAGTTCGGTGTCTAAATGCTAACGTGTGTGTTGTTTGTACCTTCCGATGGGTTGATGATAACTTGTGTTATTCATCGTTGTTGTTGTTGGGCTGTGACCCATTCCTTGATTGAGTATGTTTCATATCTTCGTTGTGATCCGTTGATTGATTCTTGTTGAGGCGTGATGTGTGTGTGGCTTTACCTGGATTGCACGATTAGTGGTATGGGACACTAGTCACCAAGGTATTGCAGCGGTCCTCGTGGTGGCCGTGACGTGATTATGGAGTTGTGACATGTGTGTCAGGTTCACGTATTTTGGAGAGGCGTGTGTCACCGAGGCTTGTGTCACCGTGTGTGTGTACGGTACCTTGTGTACTATGAAATTGGTGGCTTTGTTGGTGGTTTGTTGGTGGGGGACGACGGTCCCAGGAGGGAAAAGGTTGGACTAAGAAATACAGGGGTCCTGGAGGTAATGGTTGGAAAGAAGAAACAAGGTTGGGGGTAGCCATAAGGTTGGAACCGGGCATAAGGCAGGCATATCAACTCGTGATGGGTGATGTCACGAGGGCTATTGTAGCCATTGTGGTGAGTTCTTCTCTTGTGACGTGTGTAGTCACAAAGGCATGTGTTGCCTTGGCATGTGTTGCCGGTTGTGTGAGTCTTATTCTGTTGCGTTGTGCTTGTCGGGTTTTGATCTATTGAGTGATGATAGATCATGCCTTGACTCTTTTGTGAGTCATGTTGTTCTTGTGGTCTTGGGATGTATTCCCGTGTGTTGTTGTTGAGAGTGTTGAGTCTTACGTTGGCTTTTACTCTTGGTTTTACACTTATACATATATTCCGTTTCGAAAATGGTTTTACAACTTATACCCTACTTATGTATGTTATTTCACATGTATTGGTGGGTTACCAGCATTATTCGTTGACCGGGCGTCGTCCCATGTTTATTTGTGATCTTTCAGGTGATGTCTAGACGAGAGCGCAGTCTAGTGCCCGATAGCATAGCTCCTTCCGTTTGTTTTATGGCCTGTGTGCCTATCTAGTTGTAGACTTGTGAGATTTGGGATAGTTGTATACCATGCAGATTTGGCCGTAGCGTTCATCTCTGTTGATGAACGTGGCATAAAACCCCATGACTTGGATTTATGTTTATCCAGTTATCTTTTAATCTTCCGTTGCGCTAGTTGTTTTGTTGTGGTATCTGCATGTGTTAAGGCTTTTTATAGCATGTGTTTTTTTTTTTTTTTGGGGGGGGGGGGGGTGTTACAGGTGGACCTCCCCTCGCGGTTCCGCCCGCGGGTACACACCCACAAGGCCACCGGTTCCCCGCGGGTGGGGCGGCGGGTAGGCCTCTGCCCGGCGTTCCGCCCTCGGGTACGTACCTGTACTTCAAAATATCCCTTCGGGGATTTTCAACAACAAGGCCAAGTTCAAGTCCAAAACACCCAAAATCTCACACACAACAACAATATGACTTGAACCCAAGAAATAGCCAAGCAATGGCATTCAAGAACCCTAAGAACAAGCTCTAAACATGCATCACCACAAGACAATGCATCAAATCTCACAAATCAACACAAGAATCACAAGTAGAAGCCAAGAATCATCTTATAAGTAAGAAAATAGGTTTTGTAAAGCATGGGTTACCTTTGTAGCCTAACAACTTCCTCTTTTCACCCTCAAAAGCCTTTCCTAAAGCTCCTCTTCCACACCAACTTCTTACACATAACAAAACACAACAAAGATCCTAACTTTAGAAAAAGACACTTAAAAGGAGGTTAGAAACACCAAAAAGCCAAGGATCTTACCCTCCCCTATGCTCAAGATGAAGAAAGTAGGAATCTTGGGAGAAAATCTTGCAAGACTTGGATGCTCAAATTCTAGCTTGGAGAAGAAGCTAAATCATTTTAGAGAGAGGCTAGAGTTTTTGTGTTTTAGGTTGAAGGGTGAATAAAATGAAAGAGTCTTGCTAGGTTAGCTTAAATCACAAACCTTAGGTAGAAAGACATTCCTACCCTTACTAATGTTGGAAAGACAAGGGAACAATGGCACAACTCAAGAAGCACAGGGTACAACCCTTTGACTTAAGTGACTAGTCAAAATCTAGTCCTTCGACTATTAAATTTCAGGATTTTTAGGAATAGATTAGCAAAGAGACTTGGATTAATTCTTCAATTAATCCTTGATTAGTGTTTGGATTTACGGGGTGTCACAATATGTATGTATATACTTATAGCATCATGACATATCTTATTACATGACTTGCATGTTTTGCATTTAGAATATGATAAGAAGTACAATACATGTTGTTGCTTATGAGTTGGCATGATAGCATGAGTTTGCTTGTTGAGTTTTAAGTATCTCTTTATCTATCAGTTTGAGCATGAGTTTGCGTATTGAGCTATGTTTAGAGATGTCTGTTCAAAGCATGAGAATTGTGTTAAGTTGAGTACTTGATAAAGCATGTTTATATGTTGAATAGGATGTAAGCATATAAAATTGTTTATGAGCATGATTTGAGATTGTTGTCTAAGTGTTGAAAGTACTTGAGAATAAGTGTGATTGCCAAATGTTTTTCAAATTTATATCTATAGTACTTTACAGGGTTGAGTGGCTTTATACTTAACATTAATTTGCTAACGGGTTTATTTTCCTACTGTTTTTATAACCGCTTTCAGGTGAGCCCAGTGTTTGAGAGCACACGAAATAGACTAGTGCGTAGTTTGAGGTTGTAGAGACTAGATTAGTTTCTACTATTGATAAACTGATGTTAGTTACCTTTAGACTGATCTTTTGTTGGTGCTTGGACACTGGGGTTTGTTCCCCAAGTTAGTTAGTGTTGTTTTGATGAGCTCGACTCTAGTAGTTAACTTTTTTTAGCCTGTGCAGTCATCGTGCGTGGTGACTGTGGCGGTGACACCCGTTTTGTTGGTTTAAGTTATCTAATATCGTTTATTTACCTTGTTTTGAGTTAAGTATTTGGATTTTAGATTTTAGAAAAAGGGGGTGTTACAGATTCGGTAAAGTGAGACCGCTTTTGGACGTTATAAGGGAGAAATTGCGATTGGCTCTCAATTTGGAAGGGGATTTACAAATAGGATCTCTAGATAAGCGCAGTGTGTTGCTGCGGTTTGAGCAAGAGGAGAATTGCAAACGAACATGGCTACGAGGATTTGCGATGGTAGAGGGGAATCGCCTTTGGCTCGCAAGGTGGACGCCGGATTGGTGTAGCAATAAAGACTCTCCGCACACTCTGGTATGGAAATGGGTTTTAATGCAAAATTCCATCAATTTCCTCTAATTTAACGGATTTTTAACGCCTGATCTAACATATCACTAAAATGGTTAACAGTTTTAAAGTCGAGGACTTAATTGGGTAAAAAAAATTTGTCAAGGACTAAATTGGTAATTTCGCAATAGTCGAGGGACCATTTCGGTAATAAACTCTAATAATAATTAGAGTTAATAACCAAAATGGTCCCCCGACTATACCGTAATTATCAATTTGATCCTCGACTATCATTCTTATCCAATTAAGTCATTAACTATGCAATTTTTACTCAATTTAGTCCTATGTTAATTTGACTGTTTGTTGACTGTCAAACGTGCTGATAAAATTGTAATTCTACAAAATTATTCCTTCCTTCCCATTTAGTGTCGATCGGCTTCCGAGTTCTGACTGTCAAGAACGGTTGTGTGGGTTGCCAATAGGGAAATCCCAAATTCGGATTCTTTTGTGAAGAATCAGCCTTTCGGGCTAAAACCCGCCGTCCAAAGCATGATTCCGATAACGAGTAACAAAATCCCTTGGAACATAACGCTGCAAGACCTCACGAAGCTGTTCATGAAGCTGGTGGGTCTGCCCTGTCCAAAACCATGCTGAAAACCGCGTGCGCGATGAGGGCGGTGGCGACGTTTGCGTGCTCAAACTTGCGGAGCTGGTGGAAGGGTATGGTCCCGTCGCGGTCCAAAGAGGTGTGAGTTTGAAGGCCATCAAGACCTCCGTGGAGATGAACGCAAAGCTGCCCAAGATTATCATGTAAAGCTCTAAGTATCTAATTTTTGGATATGCATGGAAACCATAGGAGAGATAAGTGGGATTTTGGGTGCGTGGCATGGAGTTTTATCTGGTTCAACATGTGCCATATACCGACCAGACAAAAGCCTAATCCGGGAAGCACATGCCCCGTGGAAGTTCAATAGTTATGCTGTGCAACCGTGGTTGCAAAACGACATCGTTTTTACTAAAAACGCGCGTCCCATTTTTTTTAAAAAAAATTCAGTTTCGATTTCCCTCAACAACATTATTGTGGATATATAGTTATGAATTATTATGGATATATAGTTATGAATTTGTGGATATATAGTTATGAATTTATGGATATTTAGTTCATTCATTGTGGATATTTAGTTTATTCATTGTGGATGTTTAGTTCATTCATTGTGGATATTTAGTTTATTCATTCTGGATTTTGTGTTATTCATTCACTGTGGATATATAGTTATGAATTTATGGATATATAGTTATGAACTTGTGGATATATAGTTATGAATTTGTGGATATATAATTCAAATTATGCACAAAAAAATGCTATTGCCGGGAATCGAACCTGAATTTTTTATTTTTTTTAAGTGGGACGCGCGTTTTTAGTCAAAACGACGTCGTTTTTGCAACGTGTGCACCATACATGGTGCACACGGTTGCACAACATAATTTGCGGTGGAAGTTTCCATGTAGAAAGCCGGGAAGAAAGAGCAGAGCAGATTGAAGAGAGTGATGATGACGATGACGATGACGATGACGATGACGATGACGATGACGATGATGGTGATGGTGATGGTGATGGTGATGATGATGATGATGATGATGATGATGATGAGACTTGGGGAAGAGTGTCGGAACTCGGAAGCCGATCTAAATGGGGAGGAAAGAATAATTTTGTAGAATTACAAATTTATCATCACTTTTGACAGTCAACAAACAATCAAATTAACTGAGAACTAAATTGAATAAAAATTGCATAGTTGAGGACTTAATTAGGTAAGAATGATGGTTGAGAACCAAATTGGTAATTACGGTATAGTCGAGGGACCATTTTGGTTATTAACTCTAATAATTAATTCGAGGGACAAACCTAATCAAGTTGGTTGGAGTGTTATTTGGTGACCACAAACTTTCAAGTTTGATTCTCAGTGAAAACGACTTATTAGTCCTCTTAGTTTGAATTGCTCAACTATGATTAACTTAGATTGGTTTACCTCCTTATGGTCATTTTTTGACTATGATAAGAAAATGAAGTTTACTCAATGTACACCTTTGAATAGTAATTGTGTTTCCCTCGTTACCTAAATAATAATTAACTTGAGTACAGTCTTACGAATAAAATCAAGTGCCTACAATGAGACAGAAGAAGTATATATTTTTTTTTGGTGAATGGATAGAAGAAGTATATGATATATAAGATTCTTATAATATTTGGGACGATGAATTTTACCTTTTGTAGGAAAAAAAAAAAAAAAAAAAAAAAGTGACAAAATTTACATGTTTACTTGGTACCACAAAAGGAACAATGCAATCCTTTTGGTCCCCTCTAAGGGTTCGGCCAACCTTACCTATCGATGGTCATTTCCACCCAGCTGTCCCTGTACTTGAACTTCAATTATAACGGCAACAATAAGTTCTGTACGTGCAATTAGTGGCGGAAACGTAAGCATTCATAGGTTATGTTGCACTCATAGTTAACCCTTGTACTACGGCTACAATCCTAATATCGTCGCGACGTCGTCACAAAAGCAAAATTCTCTCGTTCCAAAATTTATATATTGACTTGACAAAATAGTTGAAGGGGTTAATCACGTTGATTGACCTATTAAGTTGGGAGGATTACAATCCTAAACTCGTTTAACACATGATTTAAGCTTAACGGAGTTTAATTTGATTTTTATTTGTTTATTAGTCAAATATTAATTAGTCAAAAAAGTTGTACAGTTATAAGGAGAAAAATGTAATATAAATAATCAATATTTATACCATAAACAATATATATATATATATATATATATATATGTGTGTGTGTGTGTGTGTGTGTGTGTGTGTGTGTGTGTGTGTGTGTGTGTGTGTGAGAGAGAGAGAGAGAGAGAGAGAGAGAGAGACGGATCAGGTGAGAATCACATATCCAGGAGAGAACTGAGAACTCATCGCTGTCGTCCATCTGTCCAGATCTAACGAATTAGAAAGATTTTTTTTATTTATTTAAAAAAAAAAAACACAGACATTATTGTAAATAATTGAATTTTGAAGTGCAAGTAAATTGACTTAAAAGTGCAAATTGACTTAAAAGTGCAAGTAACAGTTTCATAGAGTTCACCTAAGAGCAAGTAAAATGTATTAAAAGTATAAAAAATAATGTACACCGATCAACAATATTAACTGCATATAACGTTATCATTAAGTGCACCAATGTGAAAAGGTAAATGACTTGCACTATTAAGTCAAAATGGTTACACTTTAAAATGATTTTACTTGCATCAGTTACTTGTGCTTTTAACACATGTTACTTGTACTAAAGTTTGAGTTATTTACAAAAATGACAATGCGCCTTTTTTTTTTTTAAAGGAAAAGTGTCAAATAGGCCCTCGAACTTTAGCTGAAAAGTCAATTAGCCCTCTGAACTTTTTAAAGATGCAATTACACACATCAACAATTCATTTTAGTGCATTGAAGCCCAAAAATAGGTTAATGACCTGCTATCATATGTCATTAGGGATCCGACCACTCTTTGGAGAACTTTCAGGCAAAAAAATGATCGACGAACGATCCTTCTCCAGCGAGAAGGCGAGCTATTGTGGATTATTATTCTATCACTAAGCCTCGAGGATTGTCGATGCATTAACCTCAACAAATACCATTTATCTATCATCAAATTAATTCAATTAAATAGTTCTATAGCTCTCGTAAAAGTGTTGTTACATAAATATAGTTTCAAATTTCTAGCTTTGCTTAAGCAACTCAGCCCCTCTCACTTGATATGTTATTCGAGTTCAGTTGATCTAAACTCTAATGACATGTTTGGTTCACAAGAAAACATTTTCATTGGAGTGTTTTTTTTTCCTCAAGTTTGAGGGAAAAATAAATTTTACCAATTTGGTTGATGAAAATTTTATTCCAATGAAAAATGACTTCCTTATTCTTTCTTTGGTATTTTATCTTTCACTCCTTAACGAAGAAAAAATACAACATCAATTTCTATATTACCCTAATATATTTTTTTACTATATAGGGATATATGAGTATTTATATTAGTTATTCCCATCAATTTATTTCTACCAATCAAATAATTAAAATAATATTTCAAGTAATTCCTTTAGGGGGTGTTTGGTTTGATGGAAAACATTTTCCATGGAAAATGTTTTCTTCAAAGTAAAGGAAAATGTTGGTTTATGTTGTTTGGTTGGATGGAAAACATTTTCCATTGGAAAATGGATTCCTCAAAGTTGAGGAAAATGAATTCTTTGCAAAGGGGTGGAATTTTGTTTTCCACAAAGATTGGGAAGAAAAATAACATGAGTGTACCATTTTACCCTTATGAAAATTTCTTAATTACATAGACACCTATTTATTCATTCATCTTTTTAAGGGAAAATTGATCTTTATATTCATTATCTTTCTAAACACAACCAAACAATGGAATTCATATTCCCAGTAATTTCATTTCCACCAACCAAACAATTGAATCAATTTTCCTAGAATTTATTTTCCATGGAATTTCAATTCCATTTCCCTTCAAATATTTTCCAGCGAACCAAACGAGCTGTTAGAGAAAATATTTGATGCACTGTCATTGTATAGGTGCTATACAATGGTGGTGAACCAAATCATGTCACCTTATTAAATGTAAAGTCAACTTTAACTAATTAAACTCTTTTATGCAAATTATAATAATTCTTAATATGGTATAATTATAATTATTTATGTTACTAAAAATAACCATTGAATTCGACTGCACATTTAAATTCTTGAAACTAAAAATCAACAACGTAACAGACACTCCAGACATTGAAAAAGAAGAGAAGCGTAGCTCTAAATTGAAACAAGTAGTAAAGAAGAAAATTTCTTATCCAGAATCCTCACCAAAATGAATCGCATGATCCTCCTAAACTTTTACAAATTGCACAGAAAAAAGTAGCCATATAAAGAAAGAATGGGAAAAAAGAAGAGAAATTTTGATTAGTAAAGTTTAGATAAGTGATTCCAGAGCCAGGCAACCAAACCAAACCACCAACATTAAGAACTTTGTTTGGAATACAAGAAAAGAAATCTTGCAGGCTTGCAGCACAATAAGGAAAAGAGTGGCATACACCTATCGTTATTAAGAACGTAATTATGCTTGAAACACGTAGAGAGAAGAAACCCTACAACGCAATGAGTAGATTTACAAATTAAATCCGTGTCTATAGAGGAAGAAAACCAAGGGAAAAACTGAACGCAAAGAACAAAGAAAGAAGAGATCCCGCGTTTAGAGAGAAGATAAAATCATGCTCATTTTTTTGAATATTACTGACTCTATTACAATGTAGTAGCACAAGGAGTTAATATCGCCTCCATTAGGCGAGAACCCACAACCTCCCATATAAAGGAGCAACTTGGTGTCATTGGACCACAAAGTCCTTGGCTTGACCAATATTATTTAGTTTTAATTGAATATAATAATTATTTATAGTAACATAAAATAATTATAATTATACAATATTAAAAATTATTATAATTTGTATAAAAAGGTTTAATTATAGTTAGTTTTACATTTAATGATGTGGCTTGATTTGGTTCACTGTCATTGTATAGTATCTATACAACGGTGGTCCGTCAAATATTTTATCATTTCTTAATCCCAAAATTTAAATTTATTTTATTTTCAATTCTTTTTTTCTAAAGGACCGTAAATTTTATTTTGAATTAATTTCACTTTTGGTCCCACAACTTTAGAGGATCTATCACTTTTGGTGCACAACTTTAAAAGTTTTCAATTTTGGTGCCTAACTTTGTTGTTTTTATCAATTTTGGTCATTTCAACCAAATTGACGACGAAATATTGCCGGATTTTATATTTTTAGGGGTAAAATCGTCATCCCAAGGAAACATCTTCAATATCTAAACAAAATCACTCTAAAATCATATCTATAGGACTATAGGTGTTTGATCGATGAGAATAATTGGGAAGACGGACAGAAACTAGACACAGATCTATGAGATTTATAGCATCGACGATTGCCAAACTCTTATATTTCTCTTAACATGATTTTTCTTTTGTTTAGATATTGAATATCTTTTCTTGGGATGACGGTTTTGCCCCTAAAATGTAAAATTCAGCAATATTTCGCAATCAATTTGGTCGAAAGGACCAAAATTGATAAAAATAACAAAGTTAGACACCAAAATTGAAAAAATTTAAAGTTGTGCACCAAAAATGATAGAACCTCTAAAGTCGTAGGATCAAAAGTGAAATTAGTTCTTTTATTTTTTCAAAAGGCTGAACTCCAATCTCAAGGACCGTAAATTTCATTGTATCACACTATCACAGTTCACAAATAGGATCCGAGTGATGTATAAGCATAACTGAACAAATTTCGCCGAATTAGAAAACGATAATGATGGGGTGGAGTTGAGAGCGATGTATGGCTTTGAATCTTTGATTGATGAAGCAAATGATGCAGTCATAACTCATAAATTACTGCGATATGTAATGCAAGTTCATTAGTAATCTACACGTAGCTCAAGAATTGGTCCCCAAAATGTACCATTCCTATCAAAGTTAATCAAACAATTAGCTTAATAAACACAAGCTATCAAAACTTTTCGTGTGAAAATTATTTATTGACTCTCTAAATTTGAAACGATTAACTATAAGTAATATAAGTTGATTTATTTTATTGTGGTTTTTTTTCGATTAGAATCATAAGACAATTTTACCCAAAACGAATCTTTGAATAATGATTACAAGTTTTCTCGTAAATTAAAGAGTCACCTCCTAAAGCCAAAAGTATTTACAAATGCACTAACATGATCAAAGAATTTCATATACTAATATCAATTTTAATAACTTTACATTGTACTAGAAATTACAATTTTACGTGCATTTTGATCTTTATACTACTTTTTTTTTATAACCAATAATTAATTCATTAAATCATCGGCAAGACAATTTACAAGAAAAGGAGGAGCATCTAGTCACTCTCTGCAACCTGACATAGAAACGGCCTCCCGAACAACAGAGTGGGCGACACGATTCGCATATCGTTTAACAAACTTGAACTCAACATCACTAATCGTAGACGCTAGTTCTTTAATATCATCAATTATACTACTTATTCTCTTTCAATCCAACGAATTGGAATTCCTATTTTATTCCAACCAAATGTCTCATAAAGGTTTGCACTCCAAATCCGAGAACCGTGCTCTTGTTCTTCTATAGTCTTGGTAGAAAAATAAATCGTAAGATGTATCTCAATAGTCTCAAGTTTCCCTTAATACTTGTACACCATATCCACAATAGGGCAAATCCTTACCAAACCCCCTAAACAATGCAATTGTTAGCAAAAGTACTATTAACCTTACTTTGACTTGGCAAACCACTAATGGGGTGTTTGGTTAGATATAGTTGGAATTCATTTCCTACTTTATTCCATAGGAAAACAAATTACCGTATTTGGTTGGAAGAAATTGTAATTTCATTAAATTGCATTTCGTGGGCGCCCCTCCCCTCCCCCCCCCCAATGAATTGCCATTCGGTGGTTGTGGGAAACGAAAAAAATGAAGAAAATGACAAAAGTACCATTGATTCCACTTCTTACACAAGAATATTTTAGTTTTTATTCCACTTCTTTCTTTTTCATTTTCAATAATTCTATTCTTCATTACCAAAGAATGTAACTTGAATTCATACTTTATTCCACCTTATCTTTTTCCCACCAAATTACAATTCTTTTCCAGCATAATTCATTCCTCAGCTCCAACCAAACGCTCTTTAAAAGCTCCAACCAAACGCTCTTTAAAATGTGCATTAGGGCCTTGATTTCTAACCTTTCCTCATGTACCAAAAAAAATGCATTATTTATGCATTTCTTTAAGTCAACTTTGAAGTTTATGCCTGAAAATATATCCCACATAAAATTGCAGAAAACTGAAAAGATCTTCTGAAGGGTATAATTTTATTTTATTAATCAACTGTATAAATCAGAAATTCATAATCATAAACAGTTCCTAATACACAGGCAGAAGGAAAAAAAGAAAGAAAACAAAATAAACAAAAATTGTGGAAGATGAAAATAAGCTTATCTGCAGCCTAAGAGGCTGATTTAGATTAAAAGTTTAAAACTCTACTAAAATACATGGAACCGACAGTCAACGCCGGAATCCCTCCTCAATCTGTGTACTTCTTCCACAACACACTTATTTTTTTTTTCTTGAATTTCTCCGAGCGAAATTACGAAATTAGGCCTGTGCATCGCCCTTCTTCCCCAGCTCCTCGCCGCCGCTCTCGCCCAATAGCTTCCCGCTTTCTTCGTCTGTCTGCTGCTGAGCTTTCTTCTGAGCTTCTTTCGCCTTCAATGCCTGTAGTTTTGAGTGGTTATAGAACGCAACTCCCAAGAAAGCCAATCCATACCCGAGAAGATTGACCGGAGTTACAGTGTCCTTGATTACCGACCACGAGAACGCGATTAGGAGCCAATCTTTGACCACGCCGGCGACATTCATGGTCAGAGCCGAAGTCTTGCCGACGAGCAGGAAAACGGCGAGATTGAGGGCGAATGCGCAGAGGGAATTGGTCCCAAAAACGGTGAAATCGAATCGGAAACTGGAACTCTGTCTCAGGGCGGGGAATTCGACGAGGAGCCATGGAATGGAGAGGAAAAGGAGACAACTCGGGGCGACATAGTACAAGGAAGTAATGGGGTTTAAGCTGATTCCCTTTGAAGTGAGCAAGATCTGGATCATGACCAATCGGGTGGCTTCAATCGCGACGGCGAGGAGCTGCAGCAATACCCCCCAGGAATCGTACTTGGCCTCGCCGTACGCGGCGATTGCGACGCCGATTGAGATAGAGACCATGTTAGCCATGGTGGAGGGGTTATAGGCGTCTTTCTTGAAGAGGATTCCGATGGAGTAAACGGCGACGGGCATGAGGGCCTTGAGCATCTGGATGAAGGAGACGGAGAGGTAGATGTAGGCGGAGTTGGAGAACCAGAGGGAGAGGGAGTAGAGGGCGCCGATGGGGATGATGCACGTGAGGTACACGTGACGGGAGAGAGGCGTGGACGGCGGGTCCACCAGGCGGGCGACTCGGACGAGGAAGAAGGCGACGGAGGAGCAGAAGGCCATGTGGATCATGGTGAGGGAGATTGGGAAGGGCCAGTTGTAGAGCTTCTTGTCCAGGATGTACTTGTTGTAGACGATGACGGTGAAGGAGAGGAAGATCCACACCGCCACGTAGGCGTAGGAGAGGATGATCTTCTTGATTACGCCGTCGGAGAGTGCGCCGCCTTTCCCCATTGTGCCGGTGGCGGTGGCGGTGACGGTGGTGGTTGCTAGGGGAGAAGGGGAAAACAGAGGGGTTTAGACTTTATTTGCAGAGTGTAGTAGTGAGCTGCCTCCGAGGTTTTTATTTTATTGGAGCCTTTAGAGGGAAGGGGACCACGAAAGTGAGTTTCATAAAATATTTTACAAAAAAGTACAAAATATATATATATAAAAAAATGCATCATATTTTGAATTATTACTAAAAAGTTTGTTAAGTTAATAATGTTTACCCGATATATTTTATGTATTACTCCATAATAAACAGAGTCACAGAGACAATTGTATTGCTATGATTTGTATACAAGAAGCAGAGCCTGTTCCCCTTTTACTATACGAGACTAGACTTTATACTGTATAAACCTGGGCATTTATGGGAAAGGAATTGTAATTCTATGGGAGTTGAATTATTGGGAATAAAGTGAGAATTTAAATTCCAGTGTTTGGTTGACAGGAATAGAATTACTGGGAATTTCAATTCCAATGTTTGGTATACATGGGGATTTCAATTCCAATGTTTGGTATACATGGGAATTGAAAGGAAATAAGTAGTATAAAGTCCAAAATGCCCATTGTTGTTGTTGAAATGAAAGATCAAACATTCATTTTAGGTTAAAAAAGAGAAGGGTAATTTTGTCTCATCAGTATTTTTTTTCTTCCTAAAATCCCAGGAATTAAAATACCAGGGGGACATGGGATTTTAATTCCATGAAAATGGGGGAATTGCAATTCCATGGAATTGCAATTCCCTCAAACCAAACTACGGAATTTAATGGCCTTTGGAATTAGGTGGGAATTAAGTGGGAAGGGAATTTAAAATCCCTCCAACCAAACGCCCTGTAATGGTTACAATAATGATAGCAACGGGTCGGATCTAGTACCTTGTCTAATTTTTCCGTCAGTTTGTAATCTCTATTTGAAGGTGTGCTCTGTATTAGGCAGTTAGCATTCATAGCTTAACATACTAGTCTTTAGCTTTGTTAACTACTATTCTGTTAGATATCATGTATATAAACTCCTGTACTGTAACTCCCAATTCAATTCAATATACTTCTTCTCGAAACATCATCTTCAGTCTGGTATCACAGCCTGCTCAATTTTTTTTTTTCTACCTTTGATCCTCGATGGCCAACGCTTCCAGCGCCAACTCCCAGCCAGCCGACGGCACCTCACCGGCGGAGAACCCTCAAGCAATCACTCCCGCTGTTGCAACCACCACGCCGCCGTCAAATATTCTACACCAGGCACATCATCATTACGTGTCAATTAAGCTGACTGCCACGAACTATTTGTTCTGGAGAGCACAGCTTGTACCATTTCTTAAAGGACATAACCTATTTGGTTTCGTCGACGACACCTCCGTCTGCCCACCGGAACTTGTTGCTGCATCCTACTCCGATGCGCCACCGGCGGTCAATCCCCTCCGTGCTCAGTGGATCCAACAGGATCAATCCATCTTGAGCATGCTTTTCTCCTCTCTTGCTGAAGAGGTCCTGTACCTAGCCATTGGGCATGGTACGTCGCGAGCAGTATGGGTGGCGTTGGAGACGGCACTCGGCTCTTCATCACGAGTGCGATCTCTCAACTTGTTGTCTCAGCTTCAAAACCTTCGACAAGGGGACTCTTTGTAACACCCCAAAAATTTTAAAACTTTTTGATCTTATAATACGAAAACAATTCTATTAAATAGATATCAAATGAAGCATTCTAAACATAGAGTCGGGGGTGTTATGCCACATCTGAGCTGGAGAGCTCAGAGGCACAGGTTGTTCTAACTAACTATCCTCAAATATTATCATTACATCAACAAGGCACGCAGGCCGAAAGGCAAGACTAACTATCTAATTCGAGTTCTTCTAGCGCGCTCCGGGAGCTAATCATCTGTGTCTTAAAGCCAAATATATATGTTCAGCGAACGATGCTGGTAACCCACTCTAACACGTTAAAATACAATATAGGTAAATATATATACATAGATATAGTAAAACCATTTTGAAGCAGGAAGATATATACTTCGGAGACTCTAGCTTTAAAACTAGGAATTGGACTCGACAAAAAGGGATAAGCACATTCAACAACGATAATCAATTATATAGAGGCAACATCATAAATACACATATCTAAGGTCACAGTTCACTTTCATATCATTCATATCATCATTCAATCCATATTTTTGTCACATAAGCATACTTTGGTGGCGCCACGGGACCAATCGCATGCCCCAAACATGAGGGTTAGCGCTTGTAGCGCTAACACGGCTCCGCAGCACCCTACCTCATACTGCAGCATGAAGGAATTGACCGCAGCCAATTGTATAGGCCGTCGATGGATTCAACGGCGGACCACGGCCCTACACACCGCTGACGCGTTCAGTCGGTGGACTGTGATCCTCTTTTGGGGACTGCGACCCTACACACCGCTTGACTAGCTCAGTCGGTGGGTGGTAGCCGATCATAGCCCTACACACCGCCTGAGGGATTCATTCGGTGGACTATGATCTTTGGGGATTACGACCCTACACACCGCTGTCACATACACTCGGTGGATCGCAGCCGACCATAGCCCTACACACCGCCTGACGAACTCATTCGGTGGACTATGGCCTTCCTCGTGGCTAGTAGCCCTACACACCGCCTGACACATCCAGTCGGTGGACCACAGCACACGAGGCCCATGAGGTGGACCGAAGCCCTAGAAGTGAGTCACTGACCGCAGCCAGGATAATGAACCGCAGCTCATGAGTAACCAATTTGACCGCAGCCAAGATAATGAACCGCAGCTCATGTATAACCAATTTGATCGCAACCAAATTGGGATATCATGCACACATAACACATAGCAAGCACATGCAACCCATATTAACACATTGGGAAAGGGGATAAAATGTATAATGAAACCTATGCGTGGTCATCCACATACTAGGAATAATCCTAAGGGGTTCATACTTCTTTCACCTAGGCCAACGGGATACCAATTCGACTAGCATGCGATACACAAGACTCTTTTATCCTACGAATGGGTACCCGAAACATCAAACTAGACTTAGGCACGATAAACGGAGTCTGTTGGGAAACCATGAGGGTCGGGGAAACATCAAACGGGGAAGCCAAAGTCCCAAAGTGTGAAAAATCTAGCGTGTGGCCCGCCGGCGATGAACCAACGGGCACCCGCTGCCAGCGGTGTTACTTTCCGCAGGGGGTAGGTGGCGGGTCCCCCTACCCCCACCTACCCCCCACTGACTCTTTTTCAAAATATAAGTACCGGGATCCTCCGTGGAACCCGAAACCATACTTAGACACTTTTAAACGCAAACGACGACACCACGTAGACAATTAACGGATCAAAAGCAAGAATCACATAGAACACATCCTATCATGACTTCTAAACATAATCAACACCCGAACATGAGAATTCCCACCCAAGTATATACCAAGAACATCATAACATAAAATTCCCAATTTACCCTAGGGATCTAATCCCATTCAAATCATCAAGATCATAGTTCTTCTTTAATATCAAGAAACATCAAGATTTATCAAGAACATCACACAATCATCAAGATCCTCTTGTCATCATCAAGATCATCAAGATCACACATAAAATTATCTCATCAATCATCAAGATCATATCATAATTATCATAGAAGATTTCATCAAGACACAAGCATATAGAAGGAGCCAAAGGAGAAGATTATAGCAAAGAAAATAAGTTTTGTTGAGACATGGGTTACCTCTTAGCCTTAATTAAATTCCTTGGCTATGAAGGGTCTTTCTTTAAGATCTCTTCTTTCTTGATTTCTCCTATGGGGATTCTTGGGAATTCTTGTGTGGTGGGAGTTATTGTGGTGTGTGTTCTAGGTGCCTCCTATGTCCCTATTTATATATCTAAGAGTCCCAATTAGGGTCTAAATGGTATGAGTTTGCTAATTCTATTCCTTATAGGACTAAGGGGTTGGTTTTAGGGATAAGGGTCCATGGGCTATGGTGGACTCTTCCTAATTATTTAATGGAATTTAATTCTTTATTTTGGGTAAATGATTAAATAATTAATTGGTTTAGAGGCCGTAACACGGGGTGTTACACTCTCGCCCCTTAACGGGAAGCTTCGTCCCTGAAGCTTTGGTCTTGCTGAGTTGACCTCTCCCCTTACCCTATGCTTTCGCCTTGGTTACCTTGTTTGAAGAGTTCGGGGTAGCGTTCCTTCATGGTGTCTTTGAGTTCTTATGTTACCTCTTCGGCTCCGTGGTTGGTCCAGATGATTTTTACCATTTCTATGGTTCGCTGGCGAGTGGTTCTTGTCTTGGTGTCCAGGATCCTTACGGGTTTCTCTTCGTAGGTTAGTGCGTCGTCTAGGTCCACGGCCTCGGGTTGTAGCACGTTACTTGGATTGTGTATATATTTCTTTAGTTGGGATATGTGGAATACGTTGTGTACTCGCTCCAGTTCGGTGGGTAGGGCGAGGCAGTAGGCCAGGTCCCCGACTTTTTCTATGATTTCGTAGGAACCGATAAACCGGGAGCTGAGTTTCCCCTTTCTTCCGAACCTCATCACTCCTTGTGTGGGTGAGGTTCTTAGCCAGACCTTTTCCCCCGTGGAGAACTCGGCTTGCTTCCTCCCCAAGTTGGCGTAGGATTTTTGGCGGTCCTGGGCGGCCTTCATTCTTTCTTGTATGTGTTTGACTTTAGTTATGGTGTCTTGTAGGTATTGGGGTCCCAGTGCCACTGGGCTGACCATGTCTTCCCAGCATAAGGGTGTTCTGCATTTTTGACCGTACAGTGCTTCGTAGGGAGCCATGCGGATGCTTGCGTGATAGCTGTTGTTGTAAGAGAATTCGATGAGGTCTAGGTGTTCTTCCCATGTCCCCTGGAAGTCTAACATGCAGGCTCTTAGCATGTCTTCAAAGTTTGAATGGTTCTCTCGGTTTGACCCTCGGTGGTGGGGTGGAAGGCAATGCTCAAGTTTAGCCGTGTCCCCATGGCCGTTTGTAGAGACCTCCAGAATTGTGAGAGGAACCTGGGATCTCTATCGGACACAATGTTTCGGGGGACTCCGTGGTACTTCACTACTCG